TCATAGCACAGTGAGCCTTGCTTTACACAAGCACAACTACCCAGACCATACACTACTACTTGCTTTTACTTACAGAACATAAAGAAGCCTTGTGTTTCTGAATGCAGTTAATACTCTCTGTAAGGTCCGGCCTATTTTAAACCATGTCGGTTCACTGACCCAGACGTTGTTCATGTTAAATTATGTACTCCTCACTTAACTGCTTAACCCCGTCAACAAGCCCTCATTACTTTTGAATGAATTCCTTGGCTGCAGTAGTGACAAAAGCGTGACAAAACCGTGACATGGATCAAATGCACACAGATCTGTCGCACTGCTCCGGTTACTGATACTGACTTGTTCACTGACTGGCTCCCACAGGAGACACATCTCTTTCAAATTAAAATTAAAATGGGCGCTTGGTTAGCTCAGTCGGTAGAGATGGTGACCTATGTACGGAGTTGCTGCAGCAGGCCCGGGTTCGAGTCTGACCTGCGGCCATTTGCTGCGTGTCATCCCCTCTCTCTCTCAACCCCCTTTCCCTGTCTATCTACAGCTGTCACTATCTAATAAAACCAATAAAAGGCCCAAACTTTTTTTTTAATTTTCGCTTCACAATTACTATTTAATAACCATGTGGCAGCTAGTCACAGTATAGTTCTTAAAAAACAAGTCCGTCATTAAAAACAAGGTTACAGGAACAAGAGTCAAGATCACTGTTTTTATTGACTCCAAAGAGGTCAGCCATGTAATCATGTTTTGCACATGGGCCATCATGAAAAAGCAGGCCTCTTTTTATAAGGCCATGGCCTAGCGCTTGGTTTAGTTATGGTTTATTTCTGCAAAAGCTAATGGAGAAGTGTTGGGTCAAACAGTCAAAAGCTACACTGTATTTCATCAGCACAAGTTTGAATTGTTAAAAACCAACAACAACAACAGCCTAACAGGCTTATAGGTACCAAAAGATTTATCCAAAAATAAGTCATAATGAAACTAAGCTTTTAAGCCAACACAGGAACATGGGAATGGTGTAGTAAGCCAAGCCACAGTCTGCATCTAGGCCTTGGGGCAGCCATCTGTGCAGCTTGCCACATCTGGTAGAACCCAGGAGAGGACTGGACCAATGTGCTGCTTTGTCTCTACAAAGACTGTTCTGTTTCCCAAAACAGTTCACAGTACATGCCGAACGTCAACACACTACATTCATTCCACAAATACAGAATAAAAAACAGACAATGACAAACCACCACAGTTAATGAGATCCTCTCAAAGCAGACTAGAGTTGGACCTGTGGATATCTCCTGTTTCTGAGGACATTCACCACACCTGTAACTGGCTGCCTTCTCTGTCTCTCTGAGTAATTACAGTTACAGTACATTTTCACACCACCCGATACAGTTTCATGACAGCAGAACACTGATGAGAATTACAGACTGCACATTTAATCATTAGTTTATGTATAAAACTAATGATTTTACATTACTGAAAGATTTCAATTACATCATCTGATGAAGTGAAACGTATCTCTCAAAATAAATAAGACTCTCACTTAGCAATAATTGTACACTCCTCGCTAACAATAAATGAAACCGAAACATAGCTAAGAGTGCAATGCAGTAATCGTACACTTATTGTTATCAGTGTTGGACAAACTGAAAGGAATTGGAGAAAGCATTTCTCAGCCAGACCGTAAAGACAAAAGACTACATTGTTATCAAGTGTGAGAACAGCTCATGGGAGGGCGAAATGGTCTGCTTTATGTCTGTAGATCATGGTGAATGACTGCTTGAAATTCTAAAGGAGTGGCTTTAATCTTATAAAAAGACAGCTGCACTATTCCTCCGGGCTCAAATTAACACAGCAAATGAATTCACTGATGCTCACACACATCTCTGTTTTTTCCTGCAATTTTGCTCTCACACAAAATGCTGTGTGTGAATGTACTGTAGCTTTGTGAATAATGTCTCAGTTTCAAGTGAGAAACTCTGAAGTAATATTTATAGGCAGGCTATATTTATACATCTTCCCACCTCCCACCTCACCTCTGTCTCTTTCCTCTCTGGTAGTGGTTATTATGACGATAGCGAGATGAATGGTACTGTCAGTGCACAGTGGAGACAGCACCTGAAACAGGCCTGTGAAACGTAGCTTGGCTGGCAGGCTGACATTATTCTCCTGATGTCTCAGTAATGGTCATTATTTCAGTGGCTGGATAGTTGAGCGAGCAGCACCTGTCAGCTGTGAACAACACTGATGTTTCCTGGCACCTGCACAAATGAGTACAAGTATCTTTGACTGGCAGATCTTACTTTCCCTTATTGTAGACAAAGAAGACAGATAATGTCACAGATTCAGATCTAGAGTGGTTTACCAGCAAAAAAACAAACATATATACACACCTTAGCTTTGTTGCATTGTTGCAGTATCTCACTGACAGACATCACAATTGTCTATAGAGATCTACAAGGATTTCTGTAGAAATCAACAAAGACACACCACTTTGTGGGATTCTAGAAAAATCACATGTCCAACAAAGTCCTGGACGTTGCTCCAATAAAAACTAAGTTCCTGCCTCCACAAGCACACACTCATGTGACAATATGCTAGGCTTATTGCCTTTGCATTGTTGTCAGGATTGCTAACTGTGTCACACTGGGCCAGCATTTATGGACAATACAAGACATTCACCTGTGTAGACTTTCTATCACTTCAGTAAAACAAAATGAAGGATGAATAGTCTTAATCACACAACTCTGTATAAATGTAGACTAGTAGGAAACTGGTCTAAGGGAGCGTGACAACATGGTTGTATAAGCAGTGAGCAAGTAACCCTGAAGCAAGGCACTAACCACCCCTTATTAATTAAATCAAAAGGCGGTGTTGTATTCGTTTTAATCCAAAAAATCCTCGAGTCAGGAGCCTGAGAACCGTGACATGTTTAAAAGCCAAAAGCCAATAAGGTTAGGATATGACAGGAGAAAAGACTTATCATCACACCTAAAGTTTTCTCATCTTGTAAGTCTGGATCAGAAGTATCAGAAGTAAAAACAGATCACAGTGGGAAAGTATTGTACAATTCTTAAGCAATATCTAATCTAATATCTAAAACAAAATGTTATTATTGTGTGTTTTTGTAATGTAATGTTTTTACGTGATAAAAAATATATCACACATTGTAAATCTCAGCTGGTCAATGCTTTGACTAAGCCTTTTTGACCAAAAGAAGAAAATTTCAGTTTTATAAAAATAGGTAAGACCCGGTGAGAACTTGGAAGGTGAGTCAAAGCTATGAACAGGTGTACAGTCAACAGGGGTGTAGTCCAGTTCCTACGCAGAGTATGATAAGCAGCATGTTCCTTGTTTCAGTGTGAAAGATTATATGACACACACATTTGAGGAAAATAACACTGGTGAAAGGTCACTGCACCTGCTGCTCCCTAACCTCCTTCTGGTGTTAAAATCCTGATTTAGTTTGTCCTTTCTCTAACAAACAGAAACCTTTCTCTGTCACTCACCCTTTCTACCATGACTGCTAAGCACATACTGTGTACTGGTCCCGTTTCTTATCTGTGACAGATGTCAGGTAAATGATTATTTTATCTTTTTATTATCAACAAATGCTATGAATTTGTCCTTTACCATCAACAAAAAACAAAACATTTATCCCAGCAACTAGTGGCGTGTGGGTGGAAGCCTAATGCAGCTTATGTAAGTTATTGTGTTGTGTAAGTTATTGGGTTGAAGAAAATGTCCCGTATGGACACTAGTGTATTCAAATGACACAAGATCTAGTTACTCATATTTTATGCAAATCAAGATCCAAGTCAAATCACCATATACTGTACATCTTTGACTAAACGGTTTTCTTAACTAAGATTGCAAAGAGAATACTGTAGAAGTGCAATGTTCAGGCCATAATAGTGTAGCAATATACTTGAGACCTGCAGATGATCATGTGATAAATTATTACAGAGGAAGGAGGGAAACAAAGGGAGTTTCAGAAACCCAAAAGCACTAAAAACCATGGACTAGTGTGTAGTACTGAGTCAAAACCAGGAGGTGTAGGGGTTTAGATCCCTTCAGCAGATTTTGTGATCAATAAATCATAACAATTTGGCCCCAAGCTATCTTGGGGCCAAAACAATAACCCGATATATGCACTTGGGGGCCACAGTTCAAGCTATGTCCCCTCTAACACTGATATGACATGTTGAAATTCCCTTAGGAGACACTGAACTCTGACCAGCGTGTGTCTTTGATGTTTTTCTATACAACATCAACAGCTACATGCCAACAATGAAAAGAGGAAAAACTAGAGCAACCACTGTTGGTAGTAAACTAGTTAAATGGGCTGAGGCAATTATGCATAGAAACCCTGCACAGCAAGTTACTTAACATTTTAAACATACCTTGAGGTCAATGTGTGCAAAGAAACCTGTAGAGCAGTTGTTGCTATTGACTTAAATTCTCCATTTCCCCCTGTATTTGTTGGCCCTGAAGTGTGACTGTAGGCCCACGCTGCATAGAGAAGCCTTGGCCTTCATATACAAGCTGTCTGAATAAAAACAAGTCTCTCATCTCGCACAAGGTCTTTAAGTCTGTGGCGTTTCTAAAAGCTGTCATCTGGAGGCCAGGTTTGTTGAGAGCTCATCGACCCAATCCATTCTCAAATGGTTTATGGGCCAGCATGACAGCAGGTGACTTACAATACGATAGCAATCCTGCGTTTTACATAATTCCCATGAGATAAGACAAACCCAGTATTCTTTTAAGTTTCCCACACGTCTCTCTGTGCTCCTCCAGGTTAGCAACATCAGTTGATATGGACTTGCTATTTCCCTAAAGGGTTGCGTAAACGGATTTTAGTGGAGCCGTACTCTGATTCATTCGTTTCCTGAGCTATGTTTGTTCGTCCTCTCTCCCTTCTCTCTCGGTCCATCTAGACTTTGCCCTCGCTGAGGTCGTTTGTAGCTCAGGAAACAGATCAATAATGAGTTCAAATTTACTGGCAAAGTGCTTACCTTGTATCCTCAGTGCCATTCAATCCAGCCTGGGACTCGCATCTGCCTACTGGAGGGTCAGGTTTCACATGTTCATGGTGCTCAGTGGGGCTTCAGAGAATCACAAGCAAGGGAAACACAAAGTCATCACAGATGTAAAAACACAAACATACAGACAATCAGGGTGCAAAGTTTACTTTTTTGTCCACCAGTCACATGGCTTGTAAATATTCAAATTTGACCAGCCACTCAGGAGATAACCATTGTTTTTTTGGCTGGTGAGTGAAGCAAATCGAGGAGCCACCTGCACGGCTGGTGCTAATCCTGTGTCCTGCTGACAATATTAAGGGAGAGTACTTGCTTCTTAGAGAGCAGCTAATAAGTAGTAACATTGGTCGTCTTTGTGTACAGTGTTTGTGTACTGTGACCTAACCGCATGGCAAACAATCATAAACGTCTCCAGTGTGTGTTATGTTGTTGGAAGGTGTTACATCGGCTATTTAACATGCTAACGTTGTCTAAATGGAGACGTGTAACGACAACTAGTGAAACCAGCCTGTCTGATGTAACGTTAGACAACAAGCTAACAACGTTAACTGCTTTTATTAGCGTGAGGTTGACTTTCACCTTAAACTGAGTGACAGAAAAGAAAAAGTAGCTTGCTACAAACTGAACCACCAGTTTGTTTGTAAGTCCCTGCTGGCCGAGGTCCTCTCACCAAACTCGCAGAATGTTTTCAAAAAGAGACAAGTCAACGATAGCTTACCGTGTCCAGGGGACTTCATTATTTGACTGGATACACCGAACAAAACTGAACTTCCAAAACGAGTGAAAGAGCTTTTGTCAACACGGTAACGTTACGTCTGTGTTATCAGTTCCACGTACCAAGTTGAATCGACGGCTCGTTTTCTCGCTCAGCCTGTTGACAACCGACTAACTGGAATCAGTTCCTTAAAGGAAAAAAGTAGCAGTGGATCAAGGCCAGAGTAATCGATACCGAGCAGCGGCATAACTGGTTTGCGGTGTTGTCGAGGGTTGACGATCGATTTTTCGATAGATCTTCTTTGAAGGCCTGGAGAGCAGATGAGGCAGATGTGAGAAGGTAAACAGTGTAAAATGTAAATAAGTTGTTACAATTTTGCCCATTTTGCCCTGCCTTCATAGGCAGGAAACAAGAACAAGACAAAAAGAGGAAAATATTGTCAAATCTGCAATCTTTAATTTCAATTAAACGAGATAATGAGCACATATTAAATCAAACACTTTCTCCTTTGCACTTTTAAAAAAAATAAAGTAATGTTTGTGTGGTGGTGGGTAGCATACAGTAGTAGATGTAATGTAATGCAGCTTGCAGCTTGTCCATGTGAACTGAAAGAACAGTCCGAATCGTAGTTAGTCTTTATTAACCACTACTATTAAAGATTGTGATTTATCGGATTAAAAACCTTCACAATAAAAATTGTTGAGACCAATGTATTTCCTGCTGCGGGAAAACACTTAAAGCCTAATATTTTAAAATTAAAGACCAGTGGTGTGATTTAAATAGGTGCACATGCTAATAGAGTGTTGCCACCTAGTGTTAGTGAATTGCAACTGTTCTCATTAAATTGAGGCCAATGTAAGCTTGATTTGTAGGCTTTAAAGCAGCAGTCTCACCTCACTTCATAGAAGGGCCACTTCAACATTCAAATACTACTCAAAAAATGGCAGTTTCTATACATTTTCATGTTATATCATCTTTGTTGTTCACAGCCAAACAACAAATGAAGGCCCAAAACATGCTCTCTCCTTACATACAGATTCCAGCTTTAAAGTGTATAATCTTAAAGAAAAAACTAGACTTGAAATGTCCAGGATTTTTCAGTGATGAGACAGAAATTATTTTATTATCAGCCTGCACCGTTTGGTGCCAGTTTTTCTCATTTTTGTACGCTCAGTATCAGGGATCTCAAACTGCCAGCCCAGGTGGCATTTCCAGCCCTCCATACCTCCTCTTCCGGCTCGTATGGCAAAAATAAAAAAATATAATCTGACCAGCAAGATTATTGTTTTTTTTAAACCCCTTTTCATATCCATTTAAACAACACATCCATATACAATTAAAATGTTTGTTTAGCGCAAAATAAAGGTCAAAGGTGGCTACAAATGTGTGCAAAGGGTTGATAAGAAGAGAGCAGGTGTGAATAACTTGTTTTGATCTTATAAGTTAGCAATTCATAGGTCTACACAGATCATTTGATTACACAGCAATAGTTAACAGAAGAAATATCCATTCAGTTTGACTTTTACACACTTGATGATGATGATGATGATGATGATGATGATGATGAGATGTGATTTACTCCTAAATCTTCAGGGTTATAGATGATACATTTCACATGCAATATATTCATGTGTGGCTCCTGTCACACAACAGTTTAATGGAGAAGGCAAGGTCCACTGTATAAGCTAACAGTGTAATACTGGAAACCACTGTTTCCATGATGACCAGTTCTTGACTTCTGTTGGTAATATTTTGTCCGTGGTCTCTCAGCTGCAGTATCTTGGTAAAACAAATCACTGTGGCCACCATGTAGAGCAACACCCCAATCAGACTGAAGCCAGCCAAAAATCTGTCAAAAGGTAAAAGGCATCGGCCAGCAAAGTCTCCTAATATTACCACCAGTGTGACTACAGACATGAGGAAACACACATTGTATGACACGCCTGAGACCCACAGCTGCCAAATGTGTACTCCAGTCTGTTCACGAACCGCCTCCACAGTCAGGGGTATCATCTGACAGCCTCCCCAGAGTTGGACTATCTTGAGGAGACCAGGCAAGCTGCCCATATAGCCTCTTTGCTCATGGGCCTGGGTGCAAAGAACATATGACTCTGAGGAGTAGGCCAGGAAGGTCAGAAAGGAGGCCACAGCAGCTGCCACAGGGCGCAGCAACACGCTTTTGTGATCCATGATGATCCAAGGGAAAACCACAGAGGCACTTAAACACATCAGTGCACCTAAGACTGCCACTGTCATCGTCAAGTTCTTCCAGGATATTGGGATGAGGCTGTGAAACTGGATGACACTGAGAATGTGGATGAGGAGTGTAAGGGTGAAGAAGAAGCACCAGGTAAACATGCAGAAGATCCTGAATGTGTGGAGGTGTGGGTCCGATTGATTTTTCTGTATCTCTGGTTCCAGTGCAGCCACAAGACTGAAGGTGGTACAGCCAGATAAGACTTCCCATGTCCGCACCAAAAAAAGGGGACTCGTGAAGTCTCTGGCCTCTAGTACAATCACAGGCATTGTCACAATGTTGAATTTAAGTGATCCAATATCCAAGAAGACAGAATATCCAAATTTCAGTCTCGGTTGTTTTAGGTGTTTTTTTTTTATCCTGTAATTCAGAGCTTCGTCAACCAGCTAGTATTGTTCCCAGAATATCCGCCTAACGTTGACTTCTGAAGGTTAGTCCAGTATAGTCCATCAAAAAAATCTTTTAAATGTTCTGGATTTTTATCAAAAACACATGCCTTCTCTCTGTTCTGTTCACCAGTGCTTCATCCTGTTTACAGAAAAACTTCAAAATAATATCTCTTGGAATATGTTTTGCAGCACAGTCGCTGTCAAAATAGGCCTCGCCTACTTCCTTTTTGAGGTTGCAGCCGTGCTTTCAGTCTCACTAGAGGTACGTAGGTGCAAATGACCACAATAAAGCATTATGCAAACAAGACTACCTTCCCCCCACCCTTGATTCTCATGAAAAGGCTGTTCCTTTTTTTCTGGGGCAATAAACTACTGTGGGTACAAGTTCTTCTGACTTGACAGGCGCTGCACTGTTGGAGGCTTAAAATATGGTCAGGTAGTTGTCTGAAATGATGCTGTTGCTTACGGATGGAATATTGACAGCTCGTCTGGTGGAGGCATGTGTGTGGTTAGGATGTAAGATCTGGTTGATTGTTGGAGTGCAGTAGATCATTTGAGTCAAGTGGCTGCAGAGGATCTTGGGTTGTGGGTGGTGAGTGGCTGACCCCTCCAGGGGAGAAGAAGCTCGATGATGCGTGTGAACGAGCATTCTCTGTGTGCTCGCCCCTTGTTCATGGTGAGCAGGCACTGTGGAGAATGTGGGTCAAGAATGAGTTGCTTGGATATCAATGAGTGTGAGAAGATGTGTGTGGATGCCGCGCTAGCAGTGAACGCTGGTGAAGTGCTTTTATGTCGGAATGTGAGTGCGGACTGCCAGGGGACGATGCTTTGTCTTTCTTAGGTTAGATATGTGCTTGCGAGCAGTGTGTGGTGCGCCGTGGATACTGTGAAAAAGGTCCTTTGCTAGGAGGTCAATGGTATGGTGTGTGAAGAGTGTGTTAGGTGGCAATGACGATGTTGGTGTCATGAAGGGAGATGCAAGTATGTCCGTGTGGGTTTGTGTGGTCGGGTGGTGTCGTGGTGTGTATTTAGCGGCAAGCAGAGCAGTCCTGTCAGAGCGATCCGAGACCAATCACTTCGGCCTCGGTGTAATCGTCAGCACCGCCTCGGTCGCTGTGTTAGAAATGCACGGTGAAGGTCATCAAGGTTGCCTCGTTCACGAGAAGGCGCAGGAATTGCGAGAAAATTCGTGCTGACAGGAAAGGAGAATGAACACGCTCCACGCAAAGCGAGGACGATACTGATAAACGCAGTGGGTAACCTGCTAGCGGTACGCAGCAGTGATGGCTGTGAGGTGTGTATTGGGGGCTTGTATCAATAAAAGTTAAGATGTAACCAGGCAATTGATGATGGTAAAGGTGTGGACTAACACAGAGTGTAACTGTGGGCAAGGTCATGTCTGTGTAACTGTGACCTCCTCGTTCTTTGTGTGTTTGTGAAACACTTTGTAACTTCCAGCCTGAGGCCCTTTGCTGCACGTCATCCCCCTCTCTCCCCCCTGCCCTTCCTGTCTCTCTCCAGCTATCACTGTCACAAATACAGCAGAAATGTCAAAAAACAGTAACCCTGTCACTTAATTGGTTGATTATTTTTCCAAACATATTTATATTATATTGATAATGATTTCCCAAAGAAACGCAGTTTCTATATTACTAGCTTAAATATTTGCTGGAACTAAATATTTATGTAAAATAGCTGTTATGACATGCTCACATTTCTAGGTAATTGGGCATGAAACTAGTGCACTTCTGTGGTAACCATATGATTTGCAACTTGTGATGGAGGGCTGCTTGTAGTACTGGTTGAGCAGCAGCAGAGGGTGGACATCTTCATGCTATAAACACAGATGCAGTGAAGGAAACTTTGTCTGTACTAATTACTAGCACCTCTTTACTCATAGCATATAAAGTACCCACCAGCTTCCAATACTGACAAAGATCTTCATCATAATGTAGACAAATACACATTCTCTGTGACTAGTTTGTGTAATATGTATATACTGCTGCCTGTTGGCAATTGTAGCTATCATTTTGGGATGCCTAAAATATTTGTATCTATTATTATTATTTATTTAAGGCTGTTTTAATGGGGAAATAATTTAAGAATATTTCCTGAATTAAACTTTATTTTAAATACTGGTTGTTGCTGTGGTGATCACTAACACTAGGCCTGAAATAATCTGATCATATGTTTTTTTAAAGAATCTCTCACAGTAAAGTATGATATTTACATATACTTCAGTAAAATGTCCTCCATTTATGATGATTTCTTTTGGAGTGATGTTTATGACAAACTTTCATTGTGCTTCCAGAAGGGAGATTTTCCTGTAGTGAACGTTTTGTGCCAAGCTTGGGGGAGAAGGCAGAATATTTTGTTTAAATTCAAGTTGTATAATAACCTATAATTTGTAATTTGTAATATCATCAAATGTTTGATCACTGCAACTGTATTTCATTTTTCAAATCAGTCAATCAAAAATCAACTGCCAGTAGCTGTTAATGTAATTTCAGCCCACTGGAACATAAACCAATGTCAGCCT